GCAACGACCACCACCGCGTTATAGGAGAACAAAGTTGAGTAGTCAAACAACAACCTTCGTGAGATCGCCTAAATATAAATGTATTCTATGGGAACTTCATTTGCCAGTAAAAATATGATAATTGGTTTTTTACCCTTCTATCTGGCAACAAAACTGACACCTTTTTACAAGGAGTCATGTTTGCATAGACCGCCTAGTCTCTCTAAGGAAAGCTGTCTCGGGTGTGGGCCAATCAACTTCAAGGACAATGCACATTATCAGAGTTATGTCTTTTGTTTGTATTATGACTGCAGGTATTGCGGTCTATGCAAACATGACTCCTTGTAAAAAGGTGTCAGTTTTGTTGCCAGATTGAAGGGTAAAAAAACAATTATTATAAATGTATTGTTTAACCCGCCAATACCCGACACAGCCAATTCGTCAGGGTTTGTCACGGATACAAACGTGGCAATTCGTTCCTAGCACAGTACACTGATGTGTTGGAGAGTAAACCCAATTGCAAATGGTAACAATTGGGCTTACGACTTGGCATGTTTTTACGTAACAAACCATACTAAGTGACTGTGTTGGGTGGGGGCGGGTTTAACGACGCATTTATATTTACGTGATCTAACCCAAAAACGTAGTATGGATGACTACGCTCGTGGCCCACACGATGTTGGGGAGGCCTTCATATGCAGCAGTAGAAAGAGATGTTAACTACCTCGCCTGGTATGCAGGAGATCATGGGTTCAATCCCAACCTGACGCCACGGTGGCTAGGAGGAGACGATAACTACCTTGCCTAGCATACAGGATTTCGTGGGTTCAAGCCCGACCCTGACGCCGCAGTCGCTAGATCTTAACTATCTCGCCTAGTATGCAAGAATTCGTAGGTTCGAGCCTGACCCTGACGCCTGCTGTGCATTTAGAGTGCGCGTCTCTCTCCCTGGGGTCGCGTAGAATTTGCATCTGGATCTCCTCCAGGTTTTTTTTCCCCTCCCACATTTTTTTATCAAATATCACGGGCGTGTCGAGCGTATTTGGCTGCCACTATACATTTATCACACATGATGATGATACAATTGGACGATACAATTGATAATGATACAATTGGACGTATTTGGCTGCCACTATACATTTCTCACACATGATGATGATGATATCAGCTGCCACTTCCGTTGAGCTATGATTTGTGATAGCCAGGTCGCTTCTGAAAAAAGAGAGCTACTGCATAGCTCAAGCGGTGGGGCATTACCTGGTAAATTAAAATAAAAAAAAAGGTTAATAATCGTTTAGGTGATCGACTCACCGCCCTGAGCGAGACTCCTGGGGCTGCAGTGAACCCGGTGGTGCTCGGCGCGGAGAGAAGTTGAACGCCGTGTGGCCGGGGGTGAGTGGAGACCTCCTCCTTGGATGCTCCCTTTAAATCCGACTCCTCCTCATCCGCCGAACTCGCGACCAACTTTACTAGCCAATGAGGAAGGATGTTGATTGTTTTTCCTCTTTCCCTTTTTTCCTCCTCCTCTTTTTCCCCCTCTTTTTCCTCCTCTTTTTCCTCCTCTTTCTCCTCATTTTCCTCCTCCTTTTCCTCCTCCCCCCCCCTCCTCCCTACTGCACTCGCTTACTCTCAGTGTGTTTACGGTTCTGTATGTGTACCGCGAGTCGAGCTTCAGATGCTACCGTGGCCCGGAGCTGTGGCTGCTGCACCACAACTCGCCTGTTAATTCTGCTGCACGGTAGGCGTGTCAGAATAAGAATATTCATACTGGTAGGAACCTCCTGGTTACACCAGCCCACAGGGGATTATTGTGTCCGTCCGTCGTGCATCCAAAAATGGGAGAGTTGGGGCTGGGTGGAGAGGGGAGGGTGGGGAGGGGCTGGGTGGGGAGGGGAGGGTGGGGAGGGGCTGGGTGGGGAGGGGAAGGTGGGGAGGGGCTGGGTGGGGAGAATGGGGAGGGGCTGGGTGGGGAGGGTGGGGCTGGGTGGGAGGGGTGGGGCTGGGTGGGAGGGGTGGGGCTGGGCGGGGAGGGGCTGGTCACCCCGTGGTGTCCTTATAAAACTCAACGTTTAACGTCTTCACGCCGGCTTGTGCCCGCCCTCACAGTCGGCCACGACGGACGGACGGACACAATAATCCCCTGTGGGCTGGTGGAACCAGGTGGTTCCTACCAGTAGAATTAACATACGTATTGAGATTATTTAGCTGATATAAATTCCCACGTGGTGATGATAAGCCACTTCGTTTAGCTATAGTTTGTGATAGCCAGGTTGCTTCTGAAAAAGAGCTACACAGCTCAGTGGGGCCTTACCTGGTAAAATGAAACGTTTAGAACTTTAGATAGTTTATTATTTCCTGTATCGGCCCTCCCCCATCTTGCACAGGGATCTACAGCACAGAGGTCGCAAACGGGTTTTGATTCCTTACCCATACCCGTACCCGGCCGCATCAGGGTCGCAAACGGGTACCCGTACCCTACCCGATACCCGGCTACCCGTACCTGGCCGGGTATCGGGTAGGGTACGGGTACCCGATTGCGACCTCTGGGATGAAGCCATGTTGCAGGCGCGGATGGGTTGATTCTAGGAACTTGAATTGTGAGAAGAGTCAAGACGTTGGGAAATTAGTGACAAACGGTTACTCACCAGTGACTCACGGCCTACCCGTACCCGGCCGCACCAGGGTCGCAAACGGGTACCCGTAGGCCGGGTACGGGTAGTCGGGTATCGGGTAGGGTACGGGTATCGGGTACCCGATTGCGACCTCTGCTACAGCATCACGACAAAGCCCCTTCGGCATTTGCGTTGCCGAGTTCCTGGAGATGCCAAGAGCAGGATTTTTGTCATATTTAGCGGTTGCCCACCTGCTGGAAAAACCTGCCAGCCATGTAACCAGTGGGACCCCATCACGTTAACTATACAGCTAACCATCGATTATCCGGCGCGTAGTTATCTGGCTTCCAACATTATCCGGCGGTCCTGTACTGATCCGGCAAAACCGCTCCAAAGGCTGTATAAATCCAGCAATTGGCACCATGTGCATGACAAAAAAAGTAGCTATGCTTGATTTCAGTGTCAAATATTACATACGGTACACTATACACCTAAATACAAAAACTTAAACAATGAAAATACTGCACTATATACATTCTTCACGACTAATAACTACAGTAATAAAAACAGAAAATACACACAGTGCGATCCGACGAAAAGTGTGTGAAATTGGGCGATTGTCATACACATGTTGTTGAAACCAGAGCGTAGTTGTACGTACATCACCCCATGCAGAGTCTTCGAGATTGGAGTGGTAAGTACGGTACAGTAAAAACCGTAACCTTTTACAGTAGGGATATTAATTGTTGTCTATTTGTAAACAAATGTTAAGCACTAAAAAATATACACACCTTGGTATGCGTTAGTGATTATATTATCCCGCGTTTTTGAAAATCCGGCAGCCCCTAGTTCTACTCTAACCTCTCTCACCAATCCCCTCTTCGCCGCTCTCCCTCCACCACCTCTAACCGTCTCTCTTTCCCGTTCTCCCTTTCCTGCAATTTTCCTTTTGAATTCCCTGCTGGCCTATCCCCTGGCTGCTTTGCTCATTTCTCCTCCCCGGATCGGCCTCGCATTGTCAGCGTCGGTGACTCCTCCCTTGGGGCTTCGGCCGGTTTATTTGCACGGGACAGTTCTGGACTTACGAACAAAATTCGTTCCTGGGACCCGTTCATAAGTCGGACTGCTTCGTAAGTGAGAACACGACAATGTACTGTTTAAAATGCCCCCCCCCCCCCCACACACACAAACTCACTACCAGCGCGAGGCTGACTCATCAAATCTCGTAGAGGAATTAACACGTAGGCTTTCGCGACCAATATCATCCATAACAGAGTTTTTTTGGGTTAGATCGCATAAATATATAAATGTGTCGTTAAACCCACTACCATCCGACACAACCAACTAGTAAGGGTTGTCACGTAAACAGAACATGCCAATTCGTCACCAGTAGAGCACACCAGTGTTGGAGAGCCAAGCCACAACATTTACAATCTGAGTACGACGTTTCGCCAGTAGTTACAACTAGCTTCATCAGGCGACAGCCAGATTTGTAGAGAAGTCCAGCTGTTTCGTTCCTTATATAGACGCGTAGATGTGGTGACTACACTTTTGCGCTATACTTACATTATGCATGCGCATTATGCGAGCCCATTGATCTTGTCCTTCCTGTCCATTGTGTGTACTAAAATAGCCGTACCAACAGTATCCTTATTGAAGTATGGTGGCCTGTATAGGCATGCATTTAAACAACATGTTATTTGATTATTCGCTTCCACGCAGTACTAAGTCGGTAGCTAACCGAACGGTTCAAATTATTATTTTTTCTTTCAATTTCGATAGATTCTCTAAATAGTCTTGGCCAGTAGTAGCTAGTTTTGCATAGAACTTCAACATTATCAAAATCAATTGAGTGTCCTTGTTGGCACGCGTGTCCTGCCCCTGCTGACATTTGTATTTGGAAGTATTTAATATTTATTTGGTGTTCTTTAAGTCTCGTGATGATCGTTCGTCCTGTTTGCCCAAAATAGCATTTGCGACAAGTGCAATTAATCCGGTACTCACCTTGTGTTGATAGCTTCAGTAATACATCTTTTGTACCAGATATTAATTTCGGTATTTTATGTACCGTGCCAAATCTGACTTGGATGTTTTGTTTTTCCAAACAACTTGCTAGTTAGTGACGAATTGCCATGTTTTGTTTACGTGATAACCCTTACTATTTGGCTGTGTAGGTTTGTGGCGTGTTTAACGACACTTATATATTTACGCGATCTAACCCAAACAAAACCCTCTATTGTCGTAGAAGATTGCTCAGCTGAACAAAATGGTTCTGTGGTTCATTAACATGTAGTATTCCATAATACATCCTTTCAATATAAATCGCAACTTTCCGGTCCCTAGCCCCCGACGTATATTGGGACCCCCCTTACCCTCCCCCCACCCCGAATCACGTCATCCTCATCTTACCTTGGGCATCATCGACTCCACCGTTAAGAAGATAACTGCCCTCTTCTGTTCGCTCATTGATGCCCTCGCCCGCACCATCAGCTCCTCATTCGTCACCGACACCTCGTTGCCCGCCGGCGCTTGGCTGAACGTGCTGCTCGGGCTTATTTGGTTCCTGATCATCTCATTATGCGTGCGCAGGCCGATGTCGTACACGGGGTCATTTTCGACGCACACGGAGAATGATTTCGGGCCGGCACCTGGCATGTTTTTGAAGAAGATTTTCAGGCAGTGATCGTGGCCGCTGAAGCGGAGAGTCATGGTCCCATGACAGCCGCTCAGCCCAATCTTCTTGTGGAAGCCATAGAGGCCTTGCCCGTCCGGATTTATTGGGGTTTTAGGGAAGGCTTTGTGAGTTCCACTCTCCATGTAGTACCTAGTTCAGCAGCAACAACAACAACTCAATTTCACACCAAACCCTCTTTCATCCAATCATTCGCAGCAGCCATCCATTGCTTCATGAATGTCTCCTTAAGCTCGCGTGTTTCCGTGTCACTGCCACTCCATGGTTGGTCTCTCCCACAGGCCATCATCTATGTCCTTCCTAAGCCATTGTTTTAACAGTCAACATGATGTCTCTCAACTTGTGTGTGTTCTCGATTTCCCCATGCTCTCCCCTCTGCCTCTCAGTCGAATTCCAAACATGTGCCTCTTTGAGCACTTGTCGTTTTTAGCTGCATTTTATTTGTCGATGTCCGTGTCTCTGATCTCCTTTATAGTGTGAGGCTGTGTGTAGAATATACATGTGTAGCTGGTGTGAGCTCCACTTTGATTAATCAGACGCATAATTGTGCACTGCTAATTGCTATGGAGAGCCAAGTGAAATGTTGTATTCTATGAGAAGTCAATGATTACTAGGCATATGACCCCGAGCCCCACGTGCACTGTGGTGTAATATAATAATATATAACCGTTAAATTGATATTATTTGAATGTTAATCGACTGATAGGAGTTGGGTAATGTTAATTGACTACTGATTACGTTATTGGTGGTAATGAAGATATGCACAATTAAGTCTTTGATTTTAAAGTTGATTTAAATATATAAAATACTTATAATAATTGGGTCTAGAATATTAACACTGGTGCTCAATCCCATTGAGAGAGAGATTGAGCTGATGTGTTGTGAAGTGGAGGGTGTGTCTGGTTTCTTGCAGGTACGAGATGTCCACTTATGTTTTAGTTGTATTACATTGTTTGTCGTTTTTTCGTGGGAAATATTATAATAAGATGGCACCGTCCTCGTGGGGAGTTAATTATTGTTACGAGTATTAACAACATTCTAGATTTGAAGCTTTCGTGACTGCAAGGATTAATATTCTTAGGTTTTTCGGTAAAGTCACGTAGGTAAAACATTAAAATTAATAAAAGTAAAATAAAATAAAAATCACGACGTTTCGGAGACAACACAAGCTTCCGTCCTCAGGTGGAACCGTCACAGCCACGACAGCTGTATCAAGTAAATGAGAGATTTCAGGAGCTACCACTCCGTTTATATAATGGTTGGAGAAGGGGGGGGGAGTAAGGGCCAAGTGCAGCACACTTTTTATTAATATGGTAAGGTGAGGCTTAAGAGGGTGAGCCTTTGTTATGGAGAGGTACGGTTTGTGACTCAAACTGTGACAAGGAGACAACCATTAAACATGGTAAACCTGTAATAGTTGTCTGTCAAATAAGATTGGCAAATAAGTGTAGTTAAATCTTTTTTGTATGGTTAATCACATCTTTCCAATGATTACTCAGTTTGTAACCGTCATCACGGTTGAAATTATGTCTGTGTTTGTATATTTGTAAGAATATTAACAACATGTTTATTTTGATCAATCCAACTCGACTAAGTAGATATAATGGAGTTGGAAGATGATTATAGTGTTTTGGTGATGCAAATAGAAGTTGTTTTTGTAATAGTTGATAACATCTGGTGTTATCGTGTTGCGTTGTGCTGTTCATTTAGAAGGCACAAAATGGCTGACTTCGCGCTTGGTTTTAATATTGCACCCATGAGGTTATATTTTATAAGAAATAATTGTTGTTTGAAATGTTGTCAGTACAATATCTCGAATTTACATATTGTTAATATAATTTGATGTTAAAAAATAATGTATTATTACTTATTATTCATTATATAGGTACGTATTGTTTCGTTTAAAGTATGATCAGGAACTAGGAAATTTAGGAGGCATTACAGATGTTTTGGGCAGATGTTTGTATGTTAAATGTCAGTCGATATAAGCCGCTGTTATCGTAATTGAGATTTTTCCGTGCTGAAGGATTGAGCTGCGGTATCTGCAATAGTGTCTGGTCACTATTGCAGATACGCAAATGCCCTGAATACAAATACTTTGAAATAATGTTTTTCCGTTCCACAAATCTCCGGTGCTCAGCTGTGGAGTCGCCCACTTCTCCAGAGGACATAATACAATGCAGAGTATCTACTCCTCATTGTGTCCGAACTGTATTATTTGTATTTCTGTCTATGTTACCGACATGTCCCCCTTGTTAGGATTCACGACGGGAGGAGAGGGACAGGGCAGTCCGGCTACACTTAGCTGCTCTTTGTGCTCACCTCGCATCTCCCAACGTGAACTTCGTGTTATTTGTTATTTTAACCACAACTCCGCGGCTCCTGTAAATTTTGATGCCTTCCACGTCGTTGTCGTCGTCAGACGAACCCGCCATCACCGTCGCTATGGAGGGCGAGACAAGAAGGCGTCATCATCAATCATCGACAGCCACGATCTGCCCACTGATGGATGAAGTACCCCCCCCCCAAGCGAACCAACTGAGATGCAGCTCCACCCCGGGAAAGATGCTATGGAACTGTTATCATCGTTATACATCATCAGCAGATCTGCACGTGTGGCGGGAAGAGTTTCGAGGAAAGAGAGCCTCGGTGTGGATGATGTTGATACACATGAATATTGCTCGTTATGGACATAGAAACCACGTGCTATAGGCTGGGACGTTATGACGAGACAGAGTGGTGTCATGGAGCACGAGGAATTCGAAATGCGGTCGCCTCGCGTTTAACGCGCGTGCACGTTATGCGACTATCAAACGGTGCGTTCCATTAATGTACAATTATTTTTGTTCTGCACTTAAAAACTGTCGGTGGAATAACGCGCCCCAGTGTATTGGGCCATGGTGTCGCGGAACGCACGGCGAGCTGAATCGTTAGGTCAGGGCGGCAAAGTTACATGAACCGATGCTGCCTGAGGGTGCAGCAGTACGACAACAACCACAAGCGAGGGACAGCATCTCGCGCGCCATTTTGAAGATCTTGTGAACCTTGTCTTGTGCACAGATTCGTCTACCTGTACGCCCATTAAAATAACCTTATGGCGGGACCCTGGGGTCACGGAAGCCCCCGGTTCTCACATAAACTGCGTTGCGACGTAATTGTATGTCTGTTGAAGGCGAACGATATGGCAATCTATTCCTCTCGACGAGCTCTACACGATGCGCTAATCAAAGTTTGTATATGACTACGGCAATTTTGGCAACGACGGGTGCTCGGTGAAGAACGAGAGGATTTATTTCTGGTGGGTCGCGGCGTTTGTGTGCGCGGTGAGATGGAGTCGCCAAAAATAAATTAATTAATAACGATTTCGACTTTCGTTTATTCGGGACCCCGGGGTCCCGCCATAAGGTTCAAATGTCCAAATCCATCCAAGGATGCAGCGCCTCGATAAATACGACCCCACCCCCCTCTCTCTCCACTAACTCCACCAATCTCTACTCTTCCCCTCCACCAGCCCCAGTACGGGGGGGACTCCATCACTCGAGCATCTCACTTACGTGTTACACGTGTAATAAAAGACTCGGACGCTTCTCTCTGTCCTGTGTCCTTTATTTGGGTTCGATCTCCTTTCCCTCACGGCACTCTCCCTTACTCTTCGCTCTGCAGCCCCAGGCTGCTATCGCTCACGTAGCCCACTCACAGCACTCCCTTATATACTCTTCGCTCTTGCAGCCCCCAGGCTGCTGTCGCTCACGTAGCCAACTTCTCTCCTTGCAGACCCGCTGCTGTCTCGTCGTGCAGACCCCCGCTGCCCAACTCCACCCTTGCAGACCCGCTGCTCTCTCTGCAGTCTCCTCGCTGCTCCTTCAGCCCCGGGGTCGGTCACCGTTGGCCGACGGTGCCGATCCTCGGGGTCTGTGTGTGTGGCGATCTCGCCACTCTCTCTCTTCCTCACTCCGCCCTGCGTGGCCTCACACTTTCCCAGTCTCCGATCACTCCCCTACTGCTTCCGGTTTCTCCCCTTATAGACCTGAACCCTCTCCCCCACGTGACGTAACTCCTCCCCCCATGACGTCACTTCCGGAAGGTCGTTTACGCCCGCATTACACACGTATTTTTGTTTTAGTTCATTTTTTTCTTTAACTAGACTGTTACTATATTTAAAACATGTGTGGTAGTATTGTGAGTATAATGTCACTGTCACCGGTGAAATATGTAGAGATAGCATGCTCTCCCTAGCACCAAACATTTACTTGATTTCTGAGTTACGCGCAAGTTTATCAAGAACACAACTCTCGCATAGAACGAGAGGTGGCCGTACATGTGTCATGTTTTACGTTGTATAGAGACCCACGCACTCGCTTAATTTACATGTCAACCACCCAACGAGCATAGATGCCCATACACTCAGAGGAGACAGACACAAACGCAAAGGCTCACATAGACTCAAAATCGTACATACACATCTATAGATGCACGCATACACCTGTAGACTCGCATAGAAACTCAAATATTTTAATATAGAGCCATGGACATGCATATGTACTTATCCAAAAGAAAAATACAAAAATCCCCCACGTAGCCTTAACAGACTGTAGGGGCAAGTGCCGTTAGCAAGCAGCCTACGAAAGCCGGCACGACACACGAGGGAGTATGTGGACAGCACCACGCCCGGCCGTCTTTGTCTCCCTCGTGGCGATGTTTACACATCACACCAGCTACTCGTTTGAGACTGAGTCGACCTAGGGGAGGCCCAGGACCGGTTCAGACAATCGTCACTGGTGTTGGCCGTGAGCGGGAATCAAACTCGGGCCATCAGATTTGTAGCGCAGCGTAGCGCTAACCGCTACACTACCGCTCCCCACACATGCACATGGACACCCACACACGCACATTGAAGCCCCCACAGACTTACATTTAACTGTAGATTCACAGAATTGCAGTGGACTCGTGTAGAGCCCTAAGATTGCCTCTCTCAAGTATCAAATAAACACGCACCCCACTACTTCTGTACGGCGTCTTGAGATGCGTTCAAACGCTCCGCTGTGTGATCGTACTGAGAGGGTATTCCTAGAGGTAATCCTGCGCCTCCCAGCCGACCAAACCGATGGCGATGCGTTGTAGTCGACCCGCACCTGACCGAGGCTCGGGTATTAAACAACGTTCAGTGTAAACGAGCAACAGGAAATCCCAGGGGTTCTGCGCACAGCGATTATATTATAAACTGCGGCAGAGTGGAGTTGTGGCGCAGTGGATAGCGAAACTGCGCTGCAAACCAGGCCGGCCAGAGACTTATGATTGGCAGCCACGGCTGAAGCCAACATTGCTTTTGAGCGATACGCATGTACACGTATGTATGTTGAACTTCTTTCGCACCGTACGTGGCAAACCGTGCTAATCGGAGGTGTGGGGGGAAGGACAACAAACTGAACACAACAAGCAGTTCTACATAAAAAAACTAATTAAATTGAGATGATGATTTAAAAGTGCATGGCTCCAGTGGCTTCCTAATATCGGAAGAGCGTTCCAGACGGCCGCAGAAGCACACACATCGCATGAGAGGTTTTTGGGTTAGATCACGTCAATACGTAAGGTTTGTGTCACGTAACACAAACTTTGGCAATCAGTCATTAGTTCAGCACGAACCGGTTGAGTGTTGGAGAGTAAACCCACAACAATTCTAGATTTGAAGCTTTCGTGACTGCAAGGATTCATACTCCCACCTAATGACGGAGACTTGTGTTGCCTCCGAAACGTGATTTATTATTTATTTCTATTATTTTTATTATTCATTTTTACCTACGTGACTTTACCGAAAAATCTAAGAGTATGAACCCACAACAATATTTACAACCGTGACGTTTCACCGTTAATAACAACAACAACAACCAGTCTCATCAGGGCGATGTGGTGACCGTTTTTGTGCGATGGCGAAGCCAAAAGACGCCTCCGCTGCTGCGAGGATGGTTGAGACAGCTCCTGGTAATGGTGAAGCGGGCCCGCCTGGCGCCTCGCATATTTCACCGACTCGCAATGAGCAGCGTGGAGAGACGGAGACACACCAGTAGGGGGCGCGACTATGGATGTGTGTGAGTGGATGTGGGTGGGTGTGTGTGGGTGGGTGTTTAGGGGGGGTGGATGTGGGGGGAGGGGTGGACGTGGGTGGGTGTGTGGCTTTGTGTGGGTGTGTGGCTTTGTGTGGGTGTGCGGCTTTGTGTGGGTGTGTGGCTTTGTGTGGGTGAGTGTATGGGTGGGGCGGGAGTGTGGGGTGTGCATAGGTGGGTGTCAATGTGGAAGTGTGTGGGTGGACGTGGACGCGGGGATGGATGGGTGTTGTTATGGGTATGGTGTGGTAGAGTGTGTGGCCGTGGGTGGCTGTGTGGACGTGGTTGGATGTGTGGCCGTGGGTCGGTGGGTGTGTGGTAACGTTATGCCACGCATAGCTAGCCTAAGTCGACCACAAGTAAGCCCCCGAATCAACACATAAACAAGTACACACATGTTAAGAACAATAATTCAAATAAATGTATGAATTAAAAGAATACCTCCGGTCTACCATGGACTAAGGCGCACCAGTGGCTAGCATCACATCAACAATAGAGCAGGATAAAGTCGCGGCGATCCATCCACTCGTTTTGAGGAAATCCTCGACCGATGGGGACCCGGCATGAAATCCAAAACGCACGATAACTTAATTGTGAGTAATTATAACATTAAAATATTATTTTACTATTTTGAATAACTGTCACCGTGAGAATTATCTTTCTCTGAATCCACCAATACACAGTGCAACTAAAATAACATTTAGTTAGAGTCTTATCATATTGTATATATACAGGGGGGCTAAAACCAGCCGCAGTCGCTTTTTCAGTAAAATTGATAGCCAGGAGAAAGGAGATGTGGGGACCACCTCAGTCGGATATTGTAAAGCCGCCACCACCACCCCCACCACCACCACCCCCAATACCCCCACCACCACCCCCCACCAACACCACCACCCCCACCACCACCCCCCACCACCCCCACCCCCCATCACCCACCAACACCACCACCCCCCACCACCACCCCCCACCACCACCCCCCACCCCCACCACCACCCCGACCACCACCACCCCCAAAACCCCCACCAACACCACCCCCACCACCAACACCACCACCAACACCACCACCCCCACCACCACCACCACTCCCCTACCACCCCCCTACCACCCCCACCCCCCACCACCACCCCGACCACTACCCCCCACCACCCCCAAAACCCCCACCACCCACCAACACCACCACCCCCACCACCACCCCCCACCATCACCCCCCACCACCACCCCCAATACCCCCACCACCACCCCCCACCACATCCACCACCACCACCCCCACCACCACCCCCCACCACCCCCAATACACCAACGACCACCACCCCCCACCACCCCCCACCACATCCACCACCACCATCCCCCACCACCACAACTACCACCACCACCACCCCCCCACCACATGCACCACCACCACCCCCCACCATCCCCCACCACCACCACCACCCCCCACCACCCCCACCATCACCACCCCCCACCACCACCCCACCACCACACCCCACCACCACACCCCACCACCACCCCCCACCACCACTACCCCCCCCCACCACCACTACCTCCCCACCACCACTACCCCCCCACCACCACTACCCCCCCACCACCACTACCACCCAACCACTACGCTCTGATAGTGAACCTGCACTGTGGATCTGCAGGGTTGAGCTGCACTGCCCTCTGCTGACCTGCACGTGTGCACACGGCACTACGGAGGTGGCTGGATCGTGGCTGGGACACACTAGGGCTAGGTGAGGACACGGGGACACGTCCCCCTTTATTTAATTAATTATACTGTAAAGAACACCTTAAACTACTTTTTTTCATTTTACGAGGTGCGCTGAAGTAGTAACTAATTGACTACGTGGTGATTACGTGACAAACCCTTGATAAAATATAATTGGCTTTAACCACACATTTATACTTACGCGATCTAACCCAACAAAACCCCTCTTTTATGGATATAATAATCTTGACCCCGTGTCAATGGGGAGACAAAGGCGGCCGGGCATGGCGCTGGCCACCCACCCCCTTTGTGTGCCGAGCTGGCCTTCCTAGGGGCCGTCCATAAATGACGTCACGCACCTGGGTGGGGGGGGGGGTTCAGACATTTGTGACGATGTATGTGACGAGGGGGGGGGGGGGTTTGAGAAATGTGAAGTCACATCAAAATGCGCAACTTTAAATAAATATAGACAACACGTTCTACTTAATTAGACTTTTTTATAAATGTTTTTGTCCTACAACATCAGAGTGCAGCGCCACATTAAATACGCACTACAATGACAATAGTTGAAAGCGATTTGAACCATGTTTTATTATTTTTGGGGGTGGGGCAGAGTTTTGTGACGTCATATTTGAGGGGGGTATGACTTTTTGTGAGGCCGTGTGACGATGGGAGGGGGGGTTAAAAATCTCTATTTATGGACGGCCCCTAGGTGCTGCTACTCGAAAAAAGCACTTGCCCCAACAGTCCGTTACAAAATTTTTTCATCAAGTAAGGCCCACTGAGCTGTGTAGCTCTCTTTCAGGAGCGTCCTGGCCACAAATGATAGCTCAAAGAAGTAGCGTATCGTGTGTAGTAGCAGCCAAAATACTCTAAACGCATGTCGATTCTAAAATGTTGGAAGGAAAAATCCACCACAGAGAGAAGGAGATGCAAACTCCAAATACACAGACGTCAGGATCGGAATCGAACTGACTTGGAGACGTAGCTCTTGGGAGACAATTATGTAATTTAACGAGCACACTTTGTACACTATATACAATACACACCCTACGCTGTTACACAATGCTCTGTATCTCGCTTAAACACAACTCTACTCTGGTTGCGAGCCTACAACACAACCCTAGCCGTCTGATACTGACGGCGCTGAGCTAAGACAGCTAACTACGTCTAGCAGCGCTAAAATCAAGTGGACAACGAGGGGATCCGACTCCAACGACAGCCCCGAGCCTTCACTCAGCGTCCCCTTTAATCCTGTTAACGTGGCCTCACTCTGCCCCGGCCACACCCCCTTCTGGAACCTACGAGTGGACTCTCGACGCGTCCCCTCCGTAATCTCTACCCTCGATCCCTCTCTCTGGTCTGTCACGTGGCCTGCTCTCAATCAGGGCTGCTTCACTCTGCAAATCCCCTTCCCTGCCAGCAGCCAGCGCTATGCCACGTAGTGACCAATTTATGTCACTACACATACAAGCACGCACATGTACACAAAGATCCACTGTATAGCCTTGAACAGACTGTTGGGGCAAGTGCTGTTAGTGAGCACCTATGAAGGCCGGAACGGTACACGAGTGGGTGGGTGGCCAGCACCACGCCTGGCCGCCTTTGTCTCCCAAGTGGCGATGTTTACACACTGAACCAGGTACTCTTCTGGGTCTGAGTCGACCTAGGAGAGGCCCAGCACCGGTTCAGATATTCATCACTACACTGCCGCTCCCCACAAACACACACACACCGGGTATGCCAATGGAGCCTGTAATATCGACGTTGCTGGCGTCACTATTGGCCCTCAATGCGGGCCTCCCTCTCATCAAGATCCCCTTATCCAGCAGTTACGTGACCGGTATTATGTAAATATATAGTTTGACAATAATGTAAATTCCCTATACTTATCTAAACGATTATTTATAATGTCATACTAATTATAGCTGTCCTTTATAATGCTACGCTTTACCTCACTCAACTATAATACTGCACCTATTCTTTGGATCTTTCGGTAAAGTCACGTAGATAAGTTCAAAGAAAATAACAAATAACTACGACGTTTCGATCGCAACACAAGCAGTCATCATCAGGAAAAGGGAGGTTAGCTTCTCAAAACACTGAGGCCTCGTCGGGTAACCCGGAGGAATCAGCCAGTTGGGTTGGGCCTGATT